TCCTTAGAGACCTTGTGAAGCATTTTAAATATAATATGGATATTTACATTTCCTGAATATTGGCAAATATTTTCTTTCACCCTCTTTATTAAATCTCTTAACTTTACCCAAATGGATGGGGGCTATAATTTTTTAGTGTATTTCCTAAATGTCTTTCTTTTTCAGAGTAAATCACACCTCTGTCACACCCCAGCCACTCAAGGCGCCCTGCCGCAGGGGAAATCCCGTCCCTTCCTTGTGCCCCGGGGGTGACCACCTCCTGTGGCTCCATGAGACCTGTGGTGCCCTGAAATGGTTGAAGTATTGCCGTTCGACAGATCGTGCACAGGCCGGACCCTACTGGCGGACAGGAAGGGCGGACGCAGTGGACCCCCATCACCATGTCGATGATGCGAACGAGCTGGGTGTATTTAATCGGAGAACTCCGATCCCTCGCAGCCCCCGCGCCTGACCTGACCATGTCGCGCACAAAATATGCACGCCACTGACCCTGGGATGTATACACCGAGATGGACCCCGAGCGCCACCGCAGCATCCTTGGCGGCCATCGGGGCCCTACCCGATCAGCCGCAAGCACGGCCACGGAGATGGCCCGCGGCCTGGGGGCAACCGCCGGCCGCCAAGGAGGAGCACAGGGCACCCAGCGGCGGCGGCCACCCCCGCCCGAGTCGGCCAGGACGAGAGAGAGAGCAACAAGCCCGGAGCGCGCCGCCCCCGCCTCCAGTGACGCCTCGGCCCGGCAGCCCCCAGGTAGGTGTGCCTGCCCCGCTTTTGGGCGGGGCTCCGGCCAGCTCGGTGGTCTCTCCTGGCCTCCGCTCCTGCCCTTCCCGCCTCATCCGGCCGCCCGACCCCGCCCGCCAGACCTCAGCATGGCGCTCCTCGCGCGCCCCTCCGCGCGCGCACGGTCTGGGCAGTCCTGGTGGCGCGGAGCTGGCTGGTGGTGAGTCCGGATGCGGGTCCCAGCGGCGGAGATGTAATGTCCGGGACGGGAGAGGTCTGCTGGTAGGCGGAGTTCGGATGGTGGGGTAAGGTCATTTGGGGCGGTGGAGTCTGGGGATGGCGGGTCCAGCGGCGGAGGATTTTATCCGCGATTGAGCTCAAATTGGCGAGTGTCGAGGGGTAAGTCTTAGAGGCAGGCGAGAGTCGGGCGGATAGCCGGGGATGGAGTAATCCAGCGCGCTGCCGCGGGGGGAAGCTAGTCCGATCAGAGAGGTTAGCGGTTCCCAGGCCGCCGGAAACAGGTTACGGCTGCATGCGCGTCCATTCTCGCCTCACATGTCTTGTCCCCCCTCCCCTTCAGCCCCCCTCTCTTACAGCGTCTCCCTCTACCGCGCCATTCCCACTCCCCTGCCAGCAGCCCTCGCTGAGCCGCCGCCGGTGGTCCGCCCTTCAGCTTTTCTCTGAATAAATTCCATCCATGATTTCCGCTTCCTCCTCTCTCTCCTTCGTTGCAGCCGCACCCGCAGCGCACGTGCCGGCCGTGCCACACCGCCCTGCTCCCCTCGCTGCGCCGGCGCGTCCGGTCTGCCGTCTGCCGTGCCGGGCGTCAGCCTCCCCGCTGCTGCCCGGTGCCCGGAGCGGCCGCCTCCGCCGTCTGCCCGGTGCCCGGCGCGGTCCCGCGTCCGCCGTCTGCCCGGTGCCCGGCGCGGTCCCGCCTCCGCCGTCTGCCCGGTGCCGGCGGCGGTCCGCCTCGCCGTCTGCCCGGTGCCCGGAGCGGTCCAGCCTCCGCCGTCTGCCCGGTGCCCGGCGCGGTCCCGCGTCTGCCGTCTGCCCGGTGCCCGGCGCGGTCCCGCCTCCGCCGTCTGCCGGTGCCGGCGCGTCCGCCTCCGCCGTCTGCCCGGTGCCCGGCGCGGTTCCGCCTCCGCCGTCTGCCCGGAGCGCCTGTCGGCAGCTTGCCGGGTTCTGGCAGCGCCCAGAGGTGCCGTCCGCAGGCGTGGATGTTCAAATGAAGAATTGAATGGGCAAAGGCGGGCATCGAGCGGGGAGCGGGCGGTGGGGGACGTGAGGTCCGGCTCCTGGGGGCTGCGAGGCCCAAACACTTTCCCATCTTCCTGGAGCTACACCGAGACACAGGTTGAGTCTGAAGGGCCCAGGGGCCCGGTGCCCGCCGTCCCACCCGTGGCAGTGCCTGCTCCAAACTCCGCAGAGGATGGGTTTCACCTGCCGCCTGCGCCACCGGGCCAGCTGTCCCCACCGCTACCTAGCTCCAGCCCTCCTCTGGTCCTTTCATTTTGGACCCGACGCCCCCTTGATGGGAGCTGGGTGTAGGCCTTGGACTAACGGCGTAGAGGGGTGAGGGGGGCCCTGACAGAGCCTGGGGTGCTCAGGGGCGGGAGGAGACAGTTCCACGCAGGAGCGCCTGCCCTGCACAGTGGAGGGTGATGGCCCCCACATCGAGGCCAGAGCCCCTCGAGGACCCAGCAGGAAACCCGATAACTGGGAAGAGGCCCAGGGTGGTCTGTCGTGTCTGGGGGCTGCCTAGAGCAGTGTCAGTGGATACTGGTGGCACAGGGCTGGGTGTTCAGACCAAGGACAGGCAGGACTCAGGGCCATCCTCCCCAGCCTGGTGGCAAGGTGGGGGTCTAGGCAGCCCTGCCTCAGTGGGACTGGCCTGCTTGGCACAGTGGGCAGTGCCTAGGAAGCCCCTTAGCTGGGTGGGGCCCCCCCCCCCCAAGAGGAATGACCCCCCTGGGAAAGCTGGCAGGAAAAACACTCTAAGCCCGTCACTGTAGGGAGTTGCAGGCCCGGGGCTCCACCTCATCTCTTCACCACCTGCCTCTCCTTGACTTATGTTTTAAATTGCAAGAAGATAAAACCTGTCACTAATATGCCTTTTCAAAAGATTGGGTCTTGGCTGGGCTGGCCAAGTGGCTCACACCTGTAATCCCAGCACTCTGGGAGGCCAAGGTGGGAGGATTGCTCGTAGGCCAGGAGTTCAAGACCAGCCTGAGCAAGAACGAGACCCCATCTCTACAAAAAACAGAAAAATTAGCCAGGTGTGGTGGCGTGTGCCTTAGTCCCAGCTACTTGGGAGGCTTAGGCAGGAGGATCACTTGAGCCTGGGACTGTTTTTTTGTTTTGTTTTGTTTTGTTTTTTGAGGCAGAGTCTCACTCTGTTGCCCAGGCTAGAGTGAGTGCCATGACATCAGCCTAGCTCACAGCAACCTCAAACTCCTGGGCTCAAGTGATCCTGCTGCCTCAGCCTCTCGGGTAGCTGGGACTACAGGCATGCACCACCATGCCCGGCTAATTTTTTTTTCTATATATATATTAGTTGGTCAATTAATTTCTTTCTATTTATACTAGAGACGGGGGTCTTGCTCTTGCTCAGGCTGGTTTCGAACTCATGACCTCGAGCTATCTGCCCGCCTCGGCCTCCCAGAGTGCTAGGATGACAGGTGTGAGCCACCGCGCCCGGCCGAGCCTAGGACTTTGAGGTTGTAGTGAGCTGTGATGATGCCACTGCAACAGAGTGAGACCCTGTCACAGAAAAGAAATAACTGGATCTCAACATATTCTGGAAAAATAACAGGACATGGGCAGCTTTGGGGGCCCAGAGGAGCAGGAAGTGCCCTTGCTCCCCCCAGGTGGGCGTGGGAGGTGCTCCCTCCACGGAGCATCCATGGAGAGACTCCTGTAGGACCCCTTGTGGCCTGGCGAGGACAGGTGGTCCCTGCTGCCCCCCGAGGGCCCAGCCCCCGCGCCCCTGCTCACCCGAAGCAGGAAGCCGTCCGGGCAGGTGTACTGGTCGTACCAGATGGCCTTGTACATGATCAGGACACAGCCCAGGAGCGCCATGGCGAAGGCGATCATCCGCGCCGTGGGCAGCTGTCGCAGGAAGGGACACGAGCTCAGGTGTGAGGGACAGTGAGCCCAGGCTGGGGCTGGGCACAGGACCCCCATCTCCCTAAGTCTTGGCACCCCACCTGCACCCCAGGCAGGCAAGGTCGCCTTTCGGGAAGGTCAGCAACAGGTGCCTGGAGTGTCCGGGCACCATCCCTCGGGGTCAGGCCCTATCGACGGCCCCTTCTCTGGGATTGTGGAAACTCGGCCACCCGGTGAAGCGCACACGGCCTTGACCCAACAGGTGCTTGTAGAACAGCACAGGCCGGTGGCTGCAACATCTTTTGAGGTGTTGGGAGCCATGCGGAGGCTCACTGGGCCTCCAGAGGGACCGCAGGGAGGGTGGGCACGTCGGGGGGCGCTGGGGGGCTCCCATCACAGAAATGATGCCAGTCTGGGAACCTGCGGCCTTCCGGATCCTTGAGTGTGGCCTTTTGACTGAACAAAGATTCGTTCTGTGAAATTTGGATTTGGTTGGGGGGGCTGCACTTGGGGGTCTGGAGGGCCATGACGTGTAGCCTTAAGGCTCTGCCACCTCAGGAAGGGCAGATCTCCCTGCTAAAAAGTGAAAGGCCTTAGAAATAGTCCATTAAAAATGCTTACAGCTTTCGTTAGTAGAGCTAAGGGATCAAAAAAGAGGAGGGAAGGTATTTGCTAGGTGTGCTGTGGAAAACGTTAATTTTTGCATTATGCAGAAAGCCTGTGAGTCACTAAGAAAAAGACCAGCAGCCCGGGGAAGACCTCGCAGGAGACACACCCCGGAGGCTGGGTGGGGTGCAGGGCCCCCCCACAGTCAGCCCTGGGCACCCGCCTGGGGGCACCCCCACCCCACGAGTGGCGGCATGGTTACCTTGCGCCCTTCCTCTGGGTTGCTGCCATTGCCCTTCTGGCCCTCCAGGTCAGGGAACTTCTTCTGCTGGTCTGGGGAGGACAGCTGGTATTCCGTCTGTGTCTTGATGACCACCTGTGAGAAGACACGGCCATGGCCTCACCAGGTGGCTGGCAAGGCCCCAGGAGAGCCTCGGCTGAGAGGGTCGGCCGCATGGCAGAGCTGTGGACGCTGACAATCTGCCACGGCCACCTGTGGCTGGCAGGGCTGCAGTAGCTACAAGGTGAGGCCGAGGGAAGGTGGCCGCTGCAGGTCTGCTGGGGGCCAGGGCAGCCCTGGAGCCTGGCAAGCCCACGGACAGAGCCCCTCTGTCTGCCAGCTGCCGCCGGCTCTGAGGGCACTGCTCTCCCTGCCGGGAGCTCCCCCTTCAGTGGAGCCACGGCTTGGCCTCCTACTCCAGGAAGTCTATCCGACTTCTCTTCTGGGTCCCAGGGTCTTGAGGCCCCTTCCCTGTGGGGCACAGTGTGTGCTCCTGAGGGGCAAAGCCTGAGCCCCCCAGGGCCCAGAGCTGCAGCAGGTTCAGGGGAAGCCCACTCACGCATGCCACCCTCACCCCTGCCTGGGACAACTCCTGGCCCTTCACGCTCCAGAGCTCCCCTGGGGTCCGGCTGGGCTAGGCCTGAGTGAGCTCTTTGCCTTTCACCAATATCTGTTGGAAGCCCCCTCCCTTGGTTACTTGCCCCAGGGCCTGGACCCCCGTCCCAGCAGGAGAAGGGGGGGTTGCTGCTTGCTGGTCCCCATGGACAGACATGGGTGGGCAGTGACCCCATCTCTGTGGGACCCCCACTGGGCCCAGGCAGGTGTGGTGCTGTCTGCAGGTGGTGCATGAGTCACGTCAGCTGCTGCAGGTGGGGAGAGGGGCTCTGGAGACCAGGGAGCTGACCAGAAGGTCACAGAGTGCTGGTGGCCGACTGAGGTTTTGGCCCCCATGGCCTTCCTCCACTTGTTCTGTGGCACCTAGGAGGAGGCAACATCTAACAAACCTTACCCCACACCCTTTGCTCCCAGGGGAGCCTGAGGAAGCCTCCCCACCCCCCACGCCAGCGCCGCCCCTCACCTGGTCCGGGAACGGTGGCTGGAGCTGGCTGACGTCCAGGGGGCTGATCAGAGGCACACTGTCCGGGCCAGCCCCATCCTGGTCCCCGGGGTCTTTGCCTGGCTTCCCGGAGAAGCTGCAGCCCAGCTTCACCATGGTGGGTGGTGGTCCTGCTCCAGAGACAGAGACAGGGTCACTGCCCACAGGCCACCGTGGGTGCCCACGCAGCTGGGTCTGGAGCAGAGCAGCCTGGGCTGGTCCCAACACTCCTCACACCGGAGCCTGGGCCAGGCCATGGCCGGTCAGGCCAAGCTCCCTGGGGCCAACTGGCAGGTGCACCCAAAGGCTTCTGATCCCTTCCTGACCCCCAAGCCCCTCCGGACCCCACAGCAGTGAAGGGGGTGGTGCCCCTGACCACTGATTGCCCAGACACAGAAGCAGGGGTGTGTCTTCCCTGGCCAGTGCTCTAGAGGCACTTCCAAGGACAGCGGTTCCAAAGAAAACCCCAGACAGCAGTCTGGAGGGTTAGGTTGCCAGATTTAGCAGATAAAAATACAGGAAACCCAGCTAAATTTGAATTTCAGACAAGCAATGAATACTTTTTCTTTTAGCGTAAGTACACCCCACGCAACATGCAATATGGGACATATTTATATTTAATGCAAAAGAGTCATTCGTTGTCTAAGTGAAATTCAAGTGTACCGGTGTCCAGTGTCCTGTCCTGCAGCCCTGCTGGAGGGCAGGGGGTGAGAAAGAGCCATGGGGAGGACGGGCTCAGGCAGGTCCCAGCACTGAGGGTGCGGGACCGTCTAATGGCTCCGGAGTGCACGAGGCAAGCATCTCGGGGAAGGCAGTCAGGGCCCCTGTGGCTTGAAGCCCACGTGGCTCCAACAATGGGTTGGGGTTAGGGTGCATGGCTCCACCTCTAGGCTGCCCTCTTAGAGGAGAGGAATGCAGCAAATGACCTCTAAGCTGATCAGTGGAAAAGTAGAGAAACAAAATATATTCAATGAATCAATCAAAAGAAGCAGCAGGCCGGGCGCGGTGGCTCACGCCTGTAATCCTAGCACTCTGGAAGGCCGAGGGGGGCGGATTGCTTGAGGTCAGGAGTTCAAAACCAGCCTGAGCAAGAGTGAGACCTCATCTCTACTATAAATAGAAAGAAATTAATTGGCCATCTAATATATATATATATAAAAATTAGCTGGGCATGGTGGCGCATGCCTGTAGCCCCAACTACTCGGGAGGCTGAGGCAGAAGGATCACTTTAGCCCAGGAGTTTGAGGTTGCTGTGAGTTAGGCTGACACCACGGCACTCACTCTAGTCTGGCAACAAAGTGAGACTGTCTCAAAAAAAAAAAAAAAAAGAAGCAGCAGCAAAGGTCCTGTGTCCAGTAAGAAACTGAACCTGTCACTAAAACTTCTCACAAAGAACTCCAAGCCCAGGCAGCATCACCGCTGAATTCTACCCATCGTTTAAGGAGGAAATAATGCAAACATCACACAAAACTCTTCCAGAGAAAGGACAAAGGTGCACTCGCCAGCTCATCAGGCCAACATGGCCTCAGTTTCCCAACCTGGCAAGGACAACAGGAGAGGGGAAGTCACAAGCCCCCTCACCCACAATCAGTGCAAAGACTCCAAGTGAAATTCGAGCAAACCAAATCTAGCTAGATAAAAAGATAACACATCCTGATAGGTTGGGTGTGTTCTGGGAATTAAATTGGATTCAATATTTGAAAAGGCATGAGGAGGCCGGGCGTGGTGGTGCACACCTGCGATCCCAGCTACTCTGGAGGCTGGGGCAGGAGGATGCTTGAGCCCAGGAGTTCAAGGCCACAGTGAGCTGTGATGGCACCACTGCACACCAGCCTGGGTGACAGAGAAACACCCTGTCTCTAAAAAAAAAAAAAAAAACAATCAGTATTTTTCACCATATTAACAAAATAATGAAAAATAATCTGGTCGATTTCAATAGGAGCTAAAAAAAGGATTTGATAAGATTCAATGTTAAGGCCAGGAGCGGTGGCTCACGCCTGTAACCCTAGCACTCTGGGAGGCCAAGGCAGGCAAATCACTCAAGGCCAGGAGTTTGAAACCAGCCGGAGCAAGAGTGAGACCTCTTCTCTACTAAAAAAATAGAAAGAAATTAATTGGCCAACTAAAATATATATAAAAAATTAGCCGGGCATGGTGGCGCATGCCTGTAGTCCCAGCTACTCGGGAGGCTGAGGCAGCAGGATTGCTTGAGCCCAGGAGTCTGAGGTTGCTGTGAGCTAGGCTGACACCACTGCATTCTAGCCTGGGTAACAGAATGAGACTCTGTCTCAAAAAAAAAAATTCAATGTTCATTTATTATTTCAGAAATCTGTTAGCACACTAAGGGCAGGAAGAACATTCCTTAACCTAATAAAAGTTAACCACAAAAAAAAAAACAAACAAACAAAAAAAAAACACCCTACAGCAAACTGTACTGAATGTGAATCTTGTAGTTTTTAAGGTTAGGAAGGAGACAAAAGTGCCTTCAGTTCTATAAATCGTGTGCTGGCGGTCTCAGCCAAGGCCCAGGGCAGGGAAGCTTCAGGGCTGGACAAGATGAAGTAAGACAGTCATTATCCACCCAGGAAAACACAAATGAATCTGTAAGTAAATTACAGGGATTGAAAAGTGAATTCAGCAAGGTTGCTGGATTTACAGTATTCAGAAATCAATTCTATTTCAATATATCAGTGGCAAAAAAAAATGAGAAACATTTTTGAAAGATTCATCTAAAGAGCATAAAAATATCAAATGCTCAGGAATGGGTGTAACAAGAGATGAGCAAGATCTCCGGTGCGGAAAGCCATGAAGCATTACTGACGGAGACCAAAGAAGCGCTAAATGCCCTAAATCAACGGGACACGGAGCAGCTATGGGTTTTGAAAGTCTCCGTGTTGAAACCCGGCATCCTGCCCCCAACACGTATCTATAGCATCAACAAATCTTAAAGTCCCAAGAGGATTTTTTCCCATGAACTTGATGAACACTGTTATTTTATATGGAAGGCAGAGGGATGAGAAAACACCAGATACCTTGGGAAAGAACCAGGAGTCTTGTCTGCCAGGTGCCTGGCTTGCTGCACAGCAGTAGCGTGCTGGGTGCTGCTGAGTGGTAGACCAAATCCCACGTGACACACCCACCCTAACCTACAACAGAGACGCTGCTGCAAGGCCCGGGGAATGGCCGCCTCCCAGCAAACCGCTGGGTTCACCAAAAACAGTGAACCTCATGCCACACACAAATCTACTCCAGGTGGACAAACTTACATTGGAAAAGCAGAGTAAAGCACCTCACGGATGACACACGACAAGATTGTTCTGGGCTCAGGGAGGGAAAGATTTCTTCAGTAGGACAAAGAAGCGCTAATCGTAAAAGGAAATACTGGTAAAATGACATTAAAATTGAGAACTTCTGGCCGGGCGTGGTGGCTCATGCCTGTATCCTAGCGACTCTGGATGGCTGAGCAGGCGGGTTGCTCAATGTCAGGAGTTCAAAACCAGTCTGAGCAAGAGCAAGATTCCGTCTCTACTAAAAATAGAAAGAAATTAATTGGCCAACTAAAAATATATAGAAAAAATTAGCCGGCATGGTTGGCTCATGCTTGTAGTCCAGCGTACTTAGGAGGCTGAGGGCAGAAGGATTGCTTGAGCCCAGGACTTTGAGGTTGCTGTGATTTAGGCTGACACTGCAGCACTCTAGTCAGGGCAACAGAGTGAGACTCTGTCTAAAATAAAATAATAAAATAAAAAATTGAGAACTTCTGTTTATCAAAACACAGCCTTAAACGAACAGAAATCAAGACCCGAAGAAGATATTTACAACCCACAAATGATGAAGGGCTTGTGTAGGTTAAATGGCGTCCCCCCCAAATATGTCCAAGTGCTAATCCCTGGTATCTGTGAATGTGACCTTATGTGGAAATAGGGCCTTTGCAGGTGGAATCACGTTAAGATGAGTTAGGGTGGGCTCCAATCGGCGCCTTGGCTGGGCGAGAACGCCAGGTGCAGACGCTGGAGTGATGCGGCTGCCATCGGTGAACACCTGGGGCCCCAGAGCAGGGGTTGGGAAAGCAAGGAAGAATGTTCCTACAGGTTCTGGAAGGAGCAACCCTGCTGACACCTAGCTTTTGGACTTCCCCCTCCAGGAGTAGGAGTAAATTTCTGTTGTTTGAGGCCACCCAATTGTGGCAATTGGTGACGGTGGCTCTAGGAAGGCCAGCAGACCACCTTCTCATCCTGCCCCCACGGCGTTGTCATGTGCTTCAGCCAGCGGCTGCCAAGCCTGCAGACAAGGACCTCCACCTGGAAGTGTGTGTGTAAGGGTGTGTGTGTGTGGAAGGGTGTGTATGTAATGTGTGTGTAAGGGGGTGTGTGTTGATGTGTGTGTGGAAGGGTGTTTGTGTGTGTTGATATGTGTGTGGGTGTGTGTGTTGATATGTGTGTGGAAGGGTGTGTGTGTGTGTAAGGGTGTGTGTGATGTTTGTAAGGGTGTGTGATGTGTGTGTAAGGGTGTGTGGTGTATGTAAGGGTGTGTGATGTGTGTGTAAGGGTGTGTGATGTGTGTAACGGTGTGTAAGGGTGTGTGATGTGTGCATGTAAGGGTGTGTGTGCACGTGTGCATGGCAGGGTGTGTGTATGGAAGTGTGTGTGCAAGGGTGTGTGTGTGTTGATGTGTGTATGGGTGTGTGTGCGCATGTGTGGAAGGGCCTGTGTGTGTAACTGTGTGTGTGGAAGTGTGTGTGCAAGGGTGTGTGTGTGTTGATGTGTGCATGGCAGGGTGTGTGTGCACGTGTGCATGGCAGGGTGTGTGTATGGAAGTGTGTGTGCAAGGGTGTGTGTTGATGTGCGTATGGAAGGGTATGTGTGCATGTGTGGAAGGGCCTGTGTGTGTAACTGTGTGTGTGGAAGTGTGTGTGCAAGGGTGTGTGAGTGTGGACGGAGTCCGGCGGGGTGAGGAGCTGGGCAGGGGCCCCTCCTGGCCTGCCAGGCCCCACCCTGCGCTCCCGGCAGGTGAGCCTCTGGCCCAGGGCCCTCCCCACCTGTCGCAGGGTCCCTGCCCACGAGCCCCAGAACAGAGGGTCCCCTTCGGAGGGGAGGGAAGGGGGGCGCAGGGCGACCTGACGGAGCAGACGCCCGACCGCGCGCAGAGCTCTGCAGGACGGACACCAAAGTGTGCAAAGGGCAGCGAGGGCGGCAGGCCGGGAAACGCGGTGGGGTGAGGTGCCCTCGGGAGGCGGGGTTGGGGGTCTTCACCGACCAGAGGCACACCCAGCCTCCCCACAGACGGAGCGTGGAGGGCGAGGGGCGCAGTCCTTCCAGGAACACCGTCTTCCAGGCTGCGGCCAGCCCACGGGCCGCCCCTCCGCGTCGGGCAGGAGGCCCCGCCCTAGAAGGAGCTCCGCCCCCAGGTCCCAAAGAGCCGGGCTAGAATTCCGCCTCCTCTGCTTGCGGGCATCTGACGTCATCGCGGGTTTCCATGGCAACGGAGACAGGACCCTGAAGACACGTCTCCATGAGGACAGGGAGCCATTTGGGGCCCACTGGACCTTCGCGTCTGCATCCAGGCCCATGTCCCAGGCAGAATGCACGAGGGGGACCGTTGTGGGGTCCCCCCAACATTCCTTTCCTTCGGGGTCAGACACACGACAGACTCAGAGCTCCGCAGAACTAGGGAGCCCCTACCGCCCCCCCACCTCCCGCCCCCTGCGCTGCAATTGCATCTTCCGTGGGTCCTCTGCTCCCCACTCGCCGCGCGCTCCTGGCGGGGGAGCAGCGCGCCTTTCCTCGCTCCGAGGCTGGGGCGCGCAGGATGCTGGCGTATGGGGGTGCTGAGGCCGCGGTTGAGAGTCCTCCGAAGCTCAGCTACAGGTGACGTCACAGGCTCGCTCCGACGCGCACCCGCCGCCTGGGATGCTGCGTCACTCGGGGAGGCGCGCGCTCCTGTGCGCGGGCGTGCGCTCGTGCGAGCCGCGCGCGTGACTGCGGACCGCTGAGGCTCGCTCCCGCCGAGTCCGGCCCCACCTTGTCTCCCGCCCCCTGACGCCCACCCCTCACCCTGCGGGCGGTCGTGGGCCGACTCCTGGTTCCAGGGCCCTAATCTGCGGGTGTCAGGCCAGCCCTGCGGGGCCAAGAACGGGCCCGGGCAGAGCTACTCCCAGCTTCCCGCGTCCCAGCCACCTGTGGCCCCGCATCGCAGCCTGCGGCAGGTGGTTCCGCAGAAGTGCCCCCTTCCTGCCTCCCGGCGGCCTCCTGCCTGTCACACAGCGGCCCTCTCACGACCACATCCACGCCCCAGCCCCGTGCGGGCAGCGGCTCCTCGGGGCTCCGGCCCAGCGCCCCTTCAGCGCCCCCTTCTCAGCCCCGCCCCCCGCTGCCACAGCTGAGCAGGGGCTGGGACCCGCACCCCCGCCCACCCCAGTGGGGCGCCCAGCTCCCCCTCGCGCTCTCAGACCCCCATGGGTGGAGCCAGCTTCCGGGGAGGGGGCTGCATTCACCACGGTGGGGGTCGGCTGATGCCCCACCCCGCCCCCACAGCTCCACTCTGCCCAGGACCGGGACTCCGGGCGGCACGTCGGGTCTGCGCCACGCCGGACACCCATAGCCCTTCTTGAACGTCCAGGCTGCGACTCGTCCACGGCCCCTGACGTCCTGGGAAGCCTGGGGCCCCTCCCCCTCCCCACGCCAACTGTTCCGGGGAGGCCTGAAGACCACCCCGCTCCAGCCCGCAGGGCCGGCTGTGGCCGTGCGGCCCTCGGGTCCTCCTCGGTGCCCCTCCCGCCCCCCAGCACACGCGCCGCGCACACCTCACCGCGCCCGCGCCCGGCCCCTCGCCCCTCTCCACCAGGAGAAACGTGGAAATGGCTCACAGGCGGCTCCAACGGCAGCTGCTGCAGGAGGCGGCCGAGGACGAGGATGCGGATGTGGATGCGGAGGATGCGGTTCCAGACGCTTCGCAGCCAGGGGGGCGGGGGAGGGGCCGGAGCGGCGAGACCGAGGCTGCAGTTGCCATGGAGACGCAGGCTGGAGGAGGGGCCGGGCTCTCACGCTACCTCACACCCCTCCCCCAGCTTCCGCAGTGGGAGCCGGCGTGCGTCAGACCCCGGCCCGGCCCCCAGCCTCACTCTCTTACCCCCGACACACACACACCCCTGAGACACCCCCGCACCCCCATACACACGCCCGTGACACACACACCTCCTAACACGCGCCAACACAGAGACACACCCCCAACACACGCCCCTCTAACGTACCCTTACAATCCACACACTCACCCACAGGTGCACACACCTCACACACAGGTGCACACACCTCACACACAGGGACCCTCACACACACACACCACCTCGCTGCACAGGGCAGACTCGGGCCGGCGGGGCCCTGGGCGCTCCCTGGGGCGGGTCTCCTTGGTCAGATATTTCCACTTCAGCTCACCCCCATCCCTGTCTGGGTGGCCGGAGTCGGCACACCTGGTTTGCCTCCCACTCGCCCGGAGGGTGGCCCTCTCTCACCTGTCAGCGTCTGAGCCCCCGCGCCTCCGAGGGCCAGCCTCGCCTTCCTCCCTGACCTGGCGCCCTGGCCCCTGCCGGGTGCCCAGCAAACAGAGGGCGCTCAGGTGAGCTCGGTTGGCGAGTGAGTGCGGAGCTTTGCCGTGTGTCTGTGCAGGCTTGACCTCCAGGGACACTGGGCTCCCGCCCTGGGGGACCGCAGTGACAGCAGCAGGTATCCGTGTGGCTCCATTGCTTGTTTGTGGTTGAATGGTGTCCCCTATGAATGTCCCACGTTGTGCCCCTTCGTCCTGTGAATTGTTCCCCGTTTTGGCTGCCATGTGTCATGTTGCCATGAACGTTCTGCAAGTCTGTGGCGAACATGTGCTTTTGTGTCCGCTGGGCAGATTCTGAGCGGAATTGCCCAGCCGGATGGTACGTTTACATTTAACTTTTTTAAAAAAAAAAAAAATGCTAAAATGTTTTTTCCCAAAGTGGCTGCACCATTTTACCTTCCCGCCAGCAACGTGTAAGGGTCCCAGTTTCTCCACACCCTTACCAACGTTTGTTAGTGTCTCTTTTTTAAATCATAGCCATCTGTCTTAGCTCCGGCTACACAACAAACTGCCGCAGAGTGGGTGGTTTAAACCACAGAAGTCCGAGATTGGCATGGTTGGGTATCGATCTCCAGGGCTGATGCCTCTTTGGCCCGCTCTCCTCCGCTTGTGGATGGCCACCTTCTCCGAATCCACACGTCATCTTCTCTTGGTGTGTGTCTGTGTCCTAACCCCCTCTTCTTGTAACGACACCAGTCATGTTGAATTAGGGCCCACCCTCATGACCTCGTTTTGCCTTAATTACGTCTTTAAAAACCCTGTGTCTTTTAGCTTGAGTACCTCTGGGGAAAAACAAAGCAAACAAACCAACCTCCCTCTCCAAATACAGTCTCGTTGTGTGGGGTTAGGACTTCAGTATGTGAATTCGGGGGGACCCGAGTCAGCCACACCACCGTCCTACAGTTTGTAGTGACACTCCTTGTGGTCTGGATCCACGTCACCCTGATGGCTGCTGGCGCCAAGCACCTTCTGCGTGTGGTAGCCATTTGTGTATCTCCTTTGGTGAAATGTCTGTTCAAATGTCACGAACATTTTCAGTTGGGTTGTTTGCCTTTTTCTTATTGAATTGTAAGACTTCTTTATGTATTCTGGACGCAAGACCTTTTCTTTATTTTTAAAGCACTTAATTGACAAAGACTGTGTATATTCAAGGCATACAACATGATTTAACGTACGTACTCATTGTGTTAGTAATGATGACCACAATCAAATGAACGCAACCGTCACTGCCTGTTCTGTACATTGGAGCCCCAGAACTTGTTCCTTTTATAACTCGAAGTTTTTACCCTTGGACCAGCATCTCCCACTTCCTCTGCCCCCAACTCAATCCCCTGGCAACCACCCTTCCACTCTCTGCTTCTGTGGGTTCAACTTCTTTGGATTCTCCACGAAAGTGAGGTCACGCAGTATTTGTCCTTCTGTGTCTGGCTCATTTTGCTTGGCATACCTTCCTCAAGATTCACCTATGTTGTGGCATGTGTCGGAATTTCCCTCCTTCTTAAGGCTGAATAGTATTCCGTTGTGTACATTTACCACTTTTTCTTTCTCCGCTCTTCCCTTGATGGGCACTTACATTGCTTCCAGATCTTGGCTGTTGTAAATAATGCTTCTGTGAACATGAGGGTGCAAATATCTCAGAAACAGGATTGCTAGGTCGTCTGGTGGTTCCGTTGCTAGTTTCCTTAGGAAACGCCACACTGCTTTTCACATCTGTACAGCCAGTCCGCATTTGCACCAGCAGGTACAGGTGTTCCCTTCTCTCCACACCCTCACCAGCACTGGTTATGTATTTTCTTTCTTTCTTTCTTTCTTTCTTTCTTTCTTTCTTTCTTTCTTTCTTTCTTTCTTTCTTTCTTTCTTAAGCCTCAATGCAACTAAACCTCTGACTCAAGCAATCTCCCTGCCTCAGCTCCCGAGAGCTGGGACTACAGGCATGCGCCACCATGCCCGGCTATTTTTTCTATATATAATTATGGCCAATTAATTTTCTATTTTAGTAGAGACGGGGCCTCCTCTTGCTCAGGGTTTCGAACTCCTGACCTGGAGCAATCCGCACCGCCTAGCCTCCAGATGCTAGGATTACAGGCGTGAGCCACCGCGCCCGGCCTATCCTGGGCCTTTTCACTGTAGCTTTATAGCAAAGTTTGGTACAGGGTAGTCAAGTTAAAATTTTAAACATTTTTAACTTAAAAATTTTTTAATTT